ATTTATGCAAACCTTGTTCATCCTTCTGAAGAATCACTCTGATTAATATTACGGAGATCTGCTTTTGGTCTGTCGACATCAGGGATTGGTATAATTATATTATCACCGATTTCTACAGGAGCGTGTATTGAATCCGAAGCCAATTTCATTCTCTGGGCCTGTTGTTCCAAGTTTAGATTAGTTTTTTTCTCTGGCTGCTATTATTTGGGTCTGTCAATTTGCATTAGCTACAGATTCTGGATCTTTGTCACTAGCTGGTATTATTTGAGGTTCTGCGTTAGTACTAGCTGCAGCTTCTGGGTCTTCTTGACTATCTACTATTGTAATTAGAGACTCTAAGCGTTATCACACGTTAGCTGAATGAACTTTGACCTCGGTCGAAATAGTTTTTACTAAGACATTTTGTAAAAACCAGTTATGTCTAGTTAAAACTAGTTTAACTCAAATTCATTTTTGACTAGCAGTAAATTCTAATTATAACAAAGACATCCAATATAAACTAGTTTCAACTAGTTAAAATGCATCCTAATGAAAAACTGGTTTTGACTGCAACATCATAATTTGTGATAACCAAATACAGTGGTGCCTTGTACAACGTACTTAATCCGTTCCAGGTGCACGTCCGTTATACGAAACGCATTTTCCCATAGAAATACATGTTAAAACATATAATTCGTTCCGCAGCATAAAATAACCGTACTGTACCATAAAAAATGAAAATGGAGCAGACACCAATTATGCCGGGTAGTCAGATGTTGTGAGGAGGAGGTGGAAGAACACTTTCTTTACACATTCATACAGATACAGACTTTTTACACATTGCAGCGGGTCTTTTTTTATTGTTTTTTAATCGGAGTCAGATTCAGGAGAGGCTACCGGAACTTGCAGGGTCAACTTCTCTTGTTCCATCCTTTGTTTTTTGCCCGCTGGCTTCTTGAAAAACATGACCAAGGTGGTCTGTTTCTCTTTCTTCTTTAACACCTGTCGGAAATGACGGACAAAGGTGTCATCGTAGAGATCATTGATCCTGTTGGCCTCAGCTCTGTTTGGATAATGAGTGTTGGTAAACTCCTGAACCTCTCCCCATTCGACAAGAAAGTTTTTGTCAACTTTCACTCCTGATGATTTCTTGCTTTGTTTCAATTGAAATCACCTTTGTTTTTTTTTTTAGAAGCCATGATGCATTATAAATGACTTAACTTGCCAGATTATATGATACGAATAATTCTTTATTAATTAAGATCACTAAACACTTCTACGAGCTACTCTCGCTCCGTTTGTTTTTTACAACCTCTTTTCGTCCCGCCACCTCGGCATCTACACAATTACATTTCGTTTATTTGAATCGTCAACATATACTGTATTACATTACATTTAATGTTTATTTAAATCATCAACATATATTACATTACATTTCTACTTCAGATATACTAATAATACATTCTAATAATACTAATATATCCTAAAAATAGCAGATTGTCATTGGCAACGGCAAAAGAGTGGAAACATCATTCGCACTTGTTCGAAGAAAGTCCATTGTTTGCCTCACGCAACTGCCGAACGGAAAGTCCGTTGTTCGCAGCAAGTCCGTTGCTCGAGTCACGTAACGGTCAAACAGAAAGTCCGTTATTCGCAGCGTACGTTATACGAGGCACCACTGTATCTCATTTAGCATAGCCCAGATAAAAACAGTTTTAACTTTCAGATATAAAACATTCCTAAAATGTCAAGTTTTTTAACTCCTGGGAAAAGTTGTCAGTTTTTATAAAATTGTTTAAGATAAGAAAGTTTTTAAGTTACAATTCAGAGGGATAAATAATATTTAACATGGCCTATAAATATCACTTTTTGTATAAATTCAAAGTTGCACTCTAAAATACATTAACTAGCCACTATATAACCTTCACTTCCTTCATATAATTGCTGTTGAAATTTACACATTTGTCTGGCAAGCATAGTCAATACACTTGAAAGTCTGCCTACAAGCAATGGCACTACTACATAAAAATACTTACTTAAAATTAACAAATTAGTTCTTAACCTACAATTACTACATTTTGAAATGGTTCAATCTTTATTCAATATATATTAATTTTTATTATTACAGTGGTACCTCAGGATATGAATGCCCCAGAAATTTTCAAGATATTACATGAAATTAGAACATATTTTTGCTCCACGATAGGAACAAAAACTCTCCATACGACGTTACATTAGTTCACAGCGCTATTTTTTATTCACTTCTGTTCATTGGTCTCAGTCAGCACGTTTGCTTTGTCATGGAAGGATCTCGCTCGATAAAGGAAATCTTGAAGTATTATCAGAAAGTGACTAATTTTATTGAAAAGAAACATCCCAAAAAGGTTCACACTGGCCGTATCGCTGTTCGGAGTAATGACATTTGCCTAAGTCATTTTAGAACCATTTTAAAAAGTAGGCAAAGCCAAACCTTTTTGGATAGATATTTTACCAAGCGACCTGTATCCAGTGAAAGTGCTGGTGGAAGTGAAGGAAAGAAAGCAAAAAGCAGTGAATAAAAATTAAAACAAAAAAATATAAAACAATACTAATTTTTTTATCATTTTTAAGTTATTTTTAAGTTATCATTACATTATGTTATGTACAGTACATTAACTTTTAGTATCATTTCCCTTATCCCTCTCCTCTGCCACCAGTTTACACCTCCACCGTCGTCTATCTTCAAAAGTAAAGTGCAAAATAAAACTACATTTTTTTTAAATCAGTTATTATTCTATTATGGTTATTTATACATTTACAACTACAAAATGCATTTTTCAGTGTTTTCCTTACTACAGTTATTATTATTTTTTTTAATGTACTACTTAGCTTTAATTTGAATGTGTTTTTCATGTTGGAACGAATTATTTGGTTTTACATGTAATCATTTGGTGAAAAATGATTCACCTTATGACATTTTCATGATACGATCTCCGTCTCAGAACGGATTAATTTCGTATCCTGAGGTATCACTGTATTTCTTCCTTTTAAAACAGACTTTAACTTCTTTCAATATTTAAAACAAGGAAAAGTAAGTCAAATGGAAACTATTTATTTTCAGCATTTAAAATTGAGATAAGTTGCCCCCTTTTTTTCCAATAATCTATATTTTCATCTCTACTTATGTTTTTTCCACACAATAGAACTTGGTTATCTTGTGTCCGTCTTATGTTTACTTTGAGAACTGTTAGTTTTTTTTAATTAAAATATTTAAAAATTTTTAATTATACATCATTTCATTTGTAGCCTTTTTGATGCAGTTGTTATGCTTATTTTGCCAAATGAAATTTTATAATTTAGAACGAAAAGTTTTTAAGTAAAAAAAAAATGTTCTTAAAGCAAAATTTTTGCTTCATGTCACTCACTATTTTTTATTGCTGAAGAGAGTGCATAAAAACCTTTTTGGGGATTGTTAAAATTACTAAAAAGGTAGTAAATTAAATCTGTTATGAATTATAGTTGATTTTTGACTACATAGTTCATATTTATAAGAAACACATTAAACTTAATTTTAATGTAAAATGTTTTTGAATTATTTCAGCTTGTCAGATGCAGCCTTAAATTCATTCAAATAGAACAAGTTAAAGGCTTCTCAAATATTTTGAGAAAATAGATTTTGTTAGAAACACTACTTTTCATATACAGGGAGTTCAAATTAACATGGATTTCAATAGTTCAAAATTGCATTAGTTCATAACTGTACTTTTGTTCTGGCCAGGAATAGAGATTTACATATTAAGGAATTTGGTTAGTTCAAAATACAGTTTCTTTGTAATTCAAAATGAAAATTCTGTCTAAACTGATATTCCTATGTTAACTTGTTTATTTTGATTGAAGTGTCTTCATGCTATGAAAGAACAATAACCAAGAACAACTCTAATCTGGTCAATATGGCTTTGCTTTTACAGTAACACATCTTCAGTTGTCACCTTGCACATTTTCTTTCTATCTTGTAAATTACAGCTGGTTTTTGGGATTGGTGAATTGGGCTAGAAGTAGCAGATTGAGATATTTGTAGGACTCTAGGCAACTACAATTGGGTAACTTACTACTTTTTGGTCCACTTTAAAAATAATTTGGGCTATATTTCAAGGAATTCTTCTTTACTTTTTATAAAACCTATCTGGTGGTTTGTGTGGTTCTCCCCATTTACATGCTGCTTACCTGCAGTTTATTAGTATTATAATTTATATTAATAATAATAACAGCCACCAGTATCAACCGAGTATAACCCACTAAATACTGTACAATAATAATAATAAATGAAAATAGTGTTCTGTAGAAGTAAGTAGCCATATTCTGTTTGCTTAATAAATTACATTGGTTACATGGCCTTTGGCATGTTGTACAGAAATATGTAAATCTTGGATAATTTGAAGTAGCAAATATTTCGTTCCCTGAATTTAAACTAATTTTCTGAAGATTTCTTGTATAATGTTTTGAATTATTAACACCATCCTTTGTTTTGTTAAGAGAGATATTTTGATATTTATTAGCCAATAGCAAACAAATGTAAATATTACATGGAATTATTGAAATAAAAATATTTTTCAGACAATTTTTCCTTCTAAAAGGATATACAAAGTTTTTTGTCCCCCCACCTAAGAATATGGATAACATTTCTTAACTGGAATATTAATTCCTCATTATTGGAAGTTGTATGAAAGCACTTAAGTTTTTTTAATATTTAGTATCTGCATCTCTGGTTTATTATTTGGCTCTTAAGTAGTATTCAAGTTTTAATATTGTTTTTTTAAGATGTTTATGACCATTATTGGCAAATTGGATTTTTACATTTTAATATCAAACTTTAGAGCTGAATTTTGAAATTGTTTTATATAATTTATTCTAGGTAACACAGCAAGAGCTAAAGACTATTGCAGATACGATGCGGACCAATCCAGCAGCTTTCAATGAGACGGGTATCTATTTGGGAGGTGAAAAATATTTTTGTTTATATGCTGATAATTCACTTCTTCGGGGAAGGAAAGGTAGCTCAGCATTAATTGTTGTAGCCACTAATACATGTAAGTATGTTTTGAATTAGTCTTTAATGAAAAAAATTTTTCCAAAATTATGACTAAAATGGTGATAAAAAAATTCACTTTTTTAATTTTTAGTATAAAACATTAATTGATTTTACTTGTTGCCAAACATTTTTTCAGTATAATTAGTGATTCTGAAAAAATTTCAATAGGACTAGAGCCAACTGTTTGTGTATATAGTGTGTGCAAATGATTGCAGAGGTTTTGTCAATATTTTGATCATATTAGTAATGTAGTGATTTAAGTTTGAATAATATAAAAAAAAAAAAAAAAGAGATTGAGATTGATGTTATAAAACAGGCATCTCTGTTTTTGTTTGAGACTGCACAAAATCAGGCAATTCATCTCAGCTTGCAGCCCATTTCTTTGCTAAAGAAATTGATGGGTTGTACTTTTCTGGATGTGCCTCATGCTACAGCTGAAGAGCAATAGTACAGACTTATCTGCTAACAGGATGATCTGCCACATTCTTGTATCAGTGATTAATGAAACACTAGACTTCCAAACTAATGGATTAGTTGTGTTGGGTAAAGCTTTTCAGCTGCTATTGTATTCCCCATGTTCCCAGTTTGTACCCTCAGTCATATAAGATTTTGTACCAGTCTGCTCTACCAGATTGATGGCTTGCATCAATATTGTCTTCTCTTGAATTGATAGGAACATGCTGAATTAGGTGTAGGATGAACTAGATTACAGAATTGTTGTGTGGAGAATTACAACAGGAGCACATATTGAAAACTTAGAAAAATTTTCAGGTGTTTTTATATTTGTACACTGAAGTATATGTTGAATAGCCCACAGTGATTTTATTGAAACAGCTGCAATCATTTGTAGACACCATGCATGGCTTATGAAATGCATCCTAATTTGGTTAATTTTTTAAATGAGAAATTTAGTGTGCAAAAGTCTTATTTGAATTTAGTTTTTGGATTTACTTATTTTTAACAAGTTTTAATTTACAATTAATTTGGTTACCTGTTGCTATGCAAACTAGTCCATATCAGTTTATATGGTCAGATGTACTATTGAGATGGTTTATTATCTTTTCATTTTGTTTATGAATTAATTGTTAGTATTCTGCAAGGGAAAGGTTTACCTTTTCATTGTTTTCAAAAAGGTAAAATGAAATTATGCTAGTTCAAAAAATAAAATTGACAGTGTTTGATTGTGTGATCAATTTAAAAAAATATTCTGTAATACCCCTTTCGCACCGAGCATTTCGATCTAGATTGTGACTAAGGTCGGAGAGTGTTCCTTGGTGCGAACGCTCTCAACCGTTTCAATCTCGACTGAAACGAGGTTCAATCGCGATCGACTGGAGAGAGTTCTCGAAACTAGATCCAGTCATAAGAGAGATCCCACAATCCCACGCGTGCGAGAAAATACAAGATGGCTGCGGAACACGTGTCGGGCTATCGACTGAGAAATAAAAAAGACGTCTGGAGAGATGACGACATCTGTCTATTATTAGATGTACGGCAAGAAAAAGTATTTATTTCTAACCAAAACTTCCATTTTGTTTGTTGGTGTTTGTGACTTACCGCGTAGTTACGTCAATTTTATGATCGCATGTAATAGTCAGGTTCTTCTTGAGCGGACTGCCTGTGCGAACAGCACGACGTTCGACTAGCGACAGTCACAATCTAGATTGTAGGTAAATCGAGATCGAAGTGAGTCGTGGATTGTGTGCAAATGTAGTATAAGACTGCATATTGAAAATTGTTAGCATTGTAATTTGTACTTTTATTCTGTGGTTGTGTGTGCCTGTTTGTATTTGCCTTTTTTATACATAAATCTTTGAATTTCTAAAATTGTAAAAAACTGCAAATCAGGATTTTGTTGGCACCCTAAAAAACAAATTATATTCTGTATAAATTGGCATATGAAAATTGTATGGTGTGTGTCATGAGATATCGTGCAAAGTAACAACGGCTCCATGGAATGAATTATGTTGTCCACAGAATGGAAATTGTGAAAACTTAGGAACAATTGCAATCATTTCGTTCAGTTGCTTAGCAGCATAATTTATATACTGAAGGAGTTTGAAACATATAGACAATGGATTTGTTGAAAATCAAGAGGCAGGAAGAAGAAATTAGATGATATCTGCTCACGAAGACTAGTTGCTGCTCTTACTTTTAACTTAAGATCATAAGAAAATTGTAAGAAAAATTAAATATGATCTTTAGCTATGAAATAGGGTCATTCAATTCAAGCAGTTAGAAATTAATTACATGAAAAACGTTCATGGCATATTAGCAAGGAAAAGCCATGCTTAACTCTTACTCATATGAGAAGTGCAGTTCACTAAGAATGTCAACAAAACACTGGAATTTTGGAAATATTGTTTGGTCTGATTAATTGAAATTTGAACTATTTGGACAAAGAAGAAAACATGTATACAGAGACCAAAAGATTAGCCTTAAGCTGTTGAGTTGTATTAGAATCTGCTGCTACCATTGTAGTTACTGTGATTGTAGCTGAACTAAAGTTGAAATGAAATATAAAGTAGTCAATAAAAAATATAAACAACTTGCAGCAGTGACCTATCTATGCATCTTCATGTGGATACATATTGAAAAAAACTAACCAGTGTAACTAATCAATTATGAAATTATACTTGAAATATACTATAAAAAATGGTCTGTACAAGGTGCTCTCATAAACAGACTTCTAAGATCTTCCCAAATCTGCATGAGTAACAACCCTCTACAATAAAGCAATTAACAGGTGACTTTTTAACTAATAACAAGTACACTTAGAACCACTTTAAATGGTTTAATCCATGGAAAAGGTTTTTTACAAATTAGCACTAAATGACAGTGAGCAGTGACAGGCAATTAGGGATGGGCAAATCTTAACCTAAAATTCATTAGTCCACAAAATTTCTGTATTGAGGAAAGACTCGACTCCTGTGTTTGACTTGATCTCATATGACATCACAACAATGCTGCTGGTAGAAAAAAAAAATTCTAAAATTGCTAATCTTTGCTATTGCAATCTCCAGAATTGGAAACTTGTAGATGTTGCCATGGTAATAATTCTAAATCAAAATCTATTGTTTTTAATATCCTTGCTGGCTGGATAGTTGATGTGGTTAAGGCATCATTTTACCATTCTTGTAATCGGGGAACAAATTTGGACAGAAACCCTAGGAATTAGTGTGGTCTGGATATGCTCCCAACATATCCAGAACCACCTGGCTGAACCTACAATGAGTCTGAAAAAAGGCTTTCATAGTGCCTATGGTGGTAGTTAAAAAAATATATCCATATTATGACCATGTGGTATTTGAAGCAGCAAATAATTTATTCTAACATAAATTTGATCTTTTGTAAAGATACTTTTATGTTTTAGTATAATCTTCAATTATTTTCTGAATTTTTAAAAGCATTTATCATGACCTATTTTATTAACTAATTTTTTGTGTAAAAATCTATTTCAGTGCAGCTTGTAATGAAGGCAAATGCTGATGATAGTGGCATTGCTACTCTACAGCCAAGATAAATTTGTCTGATTTGTCATATCATACTTTAAATCTACACTCACTAAGAATTAGTTCAGTATTGCAACATAGTAAGAAAAACAATTCTGCATTATTAAGCATAGATGGCCTGGCTTTTATGAGGTGGTATCAAAAAGTTCCAGGACTGGTCCCATTACAAAAAAGTAATTGCTTTATTTATATTTGGCTAGCATTGCCTTCAAAGTACTCCCCCTTGTGCATTGATACACCACTCCCAGCACATCTGCCATTTTTGGAAAACTTCCTGAAAGTCTTTTTCTTCAAGAGTGTCAAGCACTTCCTGCAATTTGAGTTGGATCTCCACCACATTTTTCAAAACTACAACCTTTGCAACCATTTTTATCTTTGGGAATAGGAAGAAATCACAGAGCCAAATTGGGCAAGTAGAGCAGATGAGGAAGGGTTTTGATGTTGCAGGCTAAAAACTGTCATGTTAGCAATGCTATGAATGCAAATGCATTGTCATGATGGAGGACCTAGTTGTGTTGGCTCCAGTGTTTTGTCTTTTGCCAAATGTTTTCCTTAAGTCACCTCAGAACATTGCAGTGAAACTCAGCATTGACAATCCTGCCCTCAGCAAATGTATGGTGCACAACCCCATGAATGTTAAAGAAACAATCCTCATTCTCTTGGTTGCGTTTATGACCTGACTTGCCACAAGTTTGGGTCATCCACAACCTGCTGACTAAGATCCTCACACTCACTCACGCACTCTTGATACGGTGAGCCTTCTGTTCCAGTGTCAGAAGCCTGGACACAAACTTTGCAGACAAACTGCATATTTAACTTTGTTGTCAGGATTGTCTGGACTGTCCCATATGACACATTGACAATGGAAGCAATGGTTCTCTGATGATCCTCATGCACAAGTTGCCTAATTTCTTCAAAATTTTTGGAACTGGATTGCGGATGGTTGACTTTACCTGTAATTGTCTTCCAGCAATGTTCTGCCATCCTTGAAACATGCATGTCACTCAACACCTTGTTCTACTTACTGCATCATCCCCATAAGCCTGCCAAATCATTACGAAGGTCTCCTTTCCAGTTTTGCAGAGTTTAACACAGAATTTGATGTTAGCTCTCTGCTCGATTTTGCCATTTATACAGAAATCACAGATGGGCCCATGACTTAGTCACTCAATTCTGCATAGCACAAAACCCATTGTACACAGAATGATGTCACTTTGCATTCAAATTTCCAACGGTCAGTACTCCCCACAGCTACCAACACATCCCTGTGCTGCTTTGTTATCATGCTACAGAACCAGTCCCGAAACATTTTGACACTGCCTTATAAGATTTCAAATATAAAATATATATATAGGGCTTTCCCCAAATTTAGCCTCCAATCTCTTAAGAAAAGTGGCCATCTGTCCTTGCCGCTCTTATTTCCAACTATTACAACATTACTTAGTTGCCAATATGGTAATTCTGAAATTTCCAAAATCATGTAGTA